TCAAGGGCCACCTTGCCGACCTGGTAAGGCGTTGGAACCACTGGAGGAACCGGCGTCTTGTCTGCCACTGCTTGGCGTACAGCCCACCCAAGCTCACGATGGTCGGCGCAGCGCGGGTACCGGTTGTCGGCGGATGAGGGGATGGTGCTGCTGCTTGAAGCGCGTTGATCTCGGCCAGCAGCATGGCCGAGACCGGGTCCGATGGCGTGGCCTTGGCGGCGGGCTGCTGCGTGGTCGGCGCAGCGCTGGGGCCAGTTGTCAGCGGATGAGCAATGGTGCTGCCACTTGACGCGCGTTGATCTGGCCGAGACCAGGTCTGAAGGTGTAGGACCGGCGACGGGTTGCCCCGGGGTCGGTGCAGCGCTGGGGCCAGTTGTCGGCGGATGAGCGGATGGTGATGCCGCTTGACGCGCTTTGATCTCGACCGAGACCGGGTCTGGTGGTGTGGGACCGGCGACTAAGTGCTCCGTGCAGGGCGCACTTGTCAAGGGGTCGGCTACCGGATGCAATCTCACGCGAGGTGTTGGGGCAGTGGCGTTGGCAAAGGCGAAGGGTGGCTGGTGCGAATGCGCCTGAAGAGCCAGAAGCTCCTCCATCAGCGCTCTTGCCACAGGGTCCTCCTCTTTCACGCTGTTACGGCCCGTGCCCTCCACTACGCTGACCATAGTAGCGAGGACCTGGTGAGACTGCAAGAGGATCAACGTCGCCGACGACGGGTTGCCTGCCTTCAACGCCGGTTGGGAGCAACCCGGTGTTGGTACTTGCACCGGTCCACGTGTGGGTGGTGGGGGGCACAGTGTCGGCATGCACCACAACAGCTTCAAATTACCGCCGACGTTGTTTGCGCTTGCATCGGTCGCCGGATGGGTGGTGGGTATCGCCGCTTCGGCCTGCACTCCAACAACTTCAACAATGACACCGACGATCGGAAGGCCGTGGTGCGACCTCGAGGACGGGGAATCCCCGAACCTTTCTTTCCAGCGGCATGGGAGGAAGACCCGCCAGCTTGCATACCCTCCACGCTGATGTCGTCTCCGCCTTTACTCTGCGGGCCAAATAGTCGAGCTGTCGCCCCTTTTTTCTTTAGCAACACATTGACGCTTGGAGAACTGAGAACGATCTGGAACATCGCCGCCTACGGCGCGGTTCCCACCAGCACCTTTACTCCACTTCGAACTTCCCGCGTCGTCGCCGCCGGCTGCACCTCCACTGTCAACCCTTTTCTCTGGCCTTTGCCTTGTCACGGCCTCCAAGTCGCCGGCCGAGGAGACAAACCACGCCGCCCCTGCCTCATTGTAGCGAGCACGTTGGGCAGTAGCGTAAAGCCAACGGTACCCAATGCCTGTTGCATGACAGCGGTCACCGCCTGAATCAAGTCATTCCTTACTGTTTTGATGACTTATTATGGCAGGGATGGACCGGGAGGCGGGGGTGGCCCGATGCTGCCGGAAAGGGCGCCGGCGATATTGGTGGAAGTCGAGGCGAGCCGAACCTGAATGTAATCGGCCAACGAAGACTTCACGTTCTCCCCGACATTGGTCACGTGGCCACCCAACCGCATGTCGGCATCAAGACGTCGGCATCAAGACTGTTTTGATGACTTCTTCTGGCAGCGCGGGGGATGGACCGGGAGGCGGGGGTGGCCCGATGCTGCCGGAAAGGGCGCCGGCGATATTGGTGGAAGTCGAGGCGAGCCGAACCTGAATGTAATCGGCCAACGAAGACTTCACGTTCTCCCCGACATTGGTCACGTGGCCACCCAACCGCATGTCGGCATCAAGACGTCGGCATCAAGACTGTTTTGATGACTTCTTCTGGCAGCGCGGGGGATGGACCGGGAGGCGGGGGTGGCCCAATGCTACCGGAAAGGGCGCCGACGATATTGGTGGAAGTCGAGGCGAGCCGAACCTGGATGTCGTCGGCCAACGAAGACTTTACGTTCTCCCCGACATTGTCGGCATCAAGACGGGTCGGCTTTGAGCTTCTCCAAGTCCTTTGTAATTTCCCCCAACAACGACATCCTTGTGATGCTGCACGCGTTTACCAAAGCCACCCGATCGTCCAGGACTTTGCCCGTATGCTCTGCGACGGCGGCCCGTCCGGTCAGCGACTTGATAATCTCGAGGCATTCAGCCGCCGTCGCCATCAACCCCTCCGCCCGTCCCCTCTCGGCAACTACCTCCAACCGCAACAGTGCATTCTCGTCTCTGAGTTTCCTGTTCTCCTCCTCCAGTCGCTTCACGTGGGCAAATGCCGACTTACAAGAGTGGTCGATGCTGGATGACCATGCGCCTGCGTGATTATACGAGACTTGTCCCCCCCTTCATTTCCGGCCGATGCCACATTTGCGCCTGCCTCGCCGGTCGACATCGGGACACGTCCAGCACCCCATTCAACGACATTCGTCAGGTCGGCCTCCACATGTCCGCCATGGTCCTGCGCGTCTGCTCCCAGCAGACCGTCATCGGAGTCCGCCTCAGCTCTATGAGCCTCCTTCTCTGCCTCCTCCTCCTCCTCCTCCTCCTCCTCCTCCTCCTCCTCCTCCTCCTCCTCCTCCTCCTCCTCCTCCTCCTCCTCCTCCCCCCCCTCCTCCCCCTCCTCCCCCTCCTCCTCCTCCTCCTCCTCCTCCTCCTCCTCCTCCTCCTCCTCCTCCTCCTCCTCCTCCTCCCACTCCTCCTCCTCCCCCTCCTCCTCCCCCCCCTCCTCCTCCCCCTCCTCCCCCTCCTCCCCCTCCTCCTCCTCCCCCTCCTCCTCCTCCTCCTCCTCCTCCTCATCCTCCTCCTCCTCCTCCTCCTCCTCCTCCTCCTCCTCCTCCTCCTCCTCCTCCTCCTCCTCCTCCTCCCCCTCCTCCTCATCCTCCTCCCCCTCCTCCGCCTCCTCCTCCTCCTCCTCCTCCTCCTCCTCCTCCTCCTCCTCCTCCTCCTCCTCCTCCTCCTCCTCCTCCTCCTCCTCCTCCTCCTCCTCCTCCTCCTCCTCCTCCCCCTCCTGCGCCTCCCCCACCTCCTCCTCCTCCTCCTCCTCCTCCTCCTCCTCCTCCTCCTCCTCCTCCTCCTCCTCCTCCTCCTCCTCCTCCTCCCCTCCCCCCCTCCTCCTCCTCCTCCTCCTCCTCCTCCTCCTCCTCCTCCTCCTCCTCCTCCTCCTCCTCCTCCTCCTCATCCTCCTCCTCCTCCTCCTCCTCCTCCTCCTCCTCCTCCCCCTCCCCCCCCCTCCTCCTCCTCCTCCTCCTCCTCCTCCTCCTCCTCCTCCTCCTCCTCCTCCTCCTCCTCCTCCTCCTCCTCCTCCTCATCCTCCTCCTCCTCCTCCTCCTCCTCCTCCTCCTCCTCCTCCTCCTCCTCCTCCTCCTCCTCGTTCTCCTCCTCGGACTGTGACTCAGACTCTAACTCCACCGACTGCTCTGACCTCTCTTCTGACTCCTCATCGGACCCTGCCCTCCGCTCCTCTCCTCCTACCAAGTCGGCCTCGCCACCACCACCATCATGCCCTCTTGTTATAGTTTCGTGCGCGCCAAACTCCACCAGGCAAATCACGCCCGCTTGGGGCACCGACTTTGTTTTGATCCCGTCGTCGTCCAGGGGGGCGGTGCTTGGCCCTGTAGGATGATTGGCCGGCACCGACTGCCTCTCAACGACGCATCTCTGGACGTACTCCACTAGATCCAATTTGAGTGTCTTCAACCCGTGCCACCTAGGGTTTTCAGCAGCCATCGGTGCACATGACTTGCACAGGGTTTTACGCTCTTTGACCGCCCATCCGAACGCGCTCACGGTATGCAAGCTGGTGCCGACTTGCTCGTATTTTACAATGTCCGGCAAACACAGTTAAACGACCAATTCAAGGCTACTAGGTCGACAGAAACTCACGTTGCGCATGGGGCCGTCCGTCGCAACGGGTGAGTCGTGCCCCCTTGACCTTGGCAGAGGGAGGCGCCCACTTCCAGGTCCTGTCACGTCATCCCAGCTCGGCCAGAACACACCTGCGAAAAAAACTGCAACAGCAGTGCATAAAAGAATTAGTGAGCACGCCGTTTAAACAATCTTAACACGATAAACATGCCTGCCTCAACACGGCGACCGCCTCAGACGGATGCAGATGGTTCTCAGTCTTCGGGTCGAGGTGGCTGAACGATGTCCTGCTCTCGTCGCCGGAGGCCTTCAGCAGGTCTCTGGGCCGCAGAATGACAACGACGCTGCAGTGAACACCGGGAAGCGGCCCTTTCTAGCACATGTTTAACACAAATTTCAAACACCGAACGTTAACAACAACGAAACATCACGCCTTCTCACGTCGTGATAATAGGTAGGATGGCAATATCGGCGTCAAACACAGAATCAAAACAGGTGAGGTCCGTCTTCTTAATCGCCTCGCGAAGACGGCCGCACCCTATGATCCACGGCTTCAATTTTGGCGGGGCTTCGTGAAGTCACATGTACCTGCAATGACCGAAGGGCGGTGGGGACGTGTGAGCAGTGGTTCAGTATAGCGAACTTGAGGCTGGCGAAAGGGACAAAGTAGACTCGTTAGCGGCCAAAAACGCCGACGTGGATGCTCTCACAACGTACCTCTCGTCGTGATAGCGCCGACAAACAAACCTACTGTTCGCAGTCGACGCAAAAACTAGACCGTTCGACCGGTTGTAAACCGGTCGGAGAAGACAATACACCGACGCCTTCGACCTAGAATTGCGGAAGCCATCGAGACGACAACGCCGATTGCCATCACTGTCTACAAATCGTCGGCGCACACTAACGATGCAAACTAGACAGGCTTTTCGTAAACGCATTCAAGGTCGACAGCCGGCGACATCGACGGACTATGGCGAATACGATGGGCGGCGAGCATACCCACTGCGATCAATCGCGGCCTCACACGCCAACCCCGTCACGCGCATCAATGAATAACGTCATCGCAGTTGCAAATATAGTTACTAAGTCGGCGAGCACCAAAAGGGCTACACAGAACATGGATGCCGCCTTTAATGATTGGTATGAAAGACTGACTTGAGCTCGAGTGCGAAGCAAAGCTCTGTGAAGTCCTCTTCACGTCGCGCAGTACGGCGAAGTCCTTCTCGTGAAACGTGATTGGTGAGCCCGCGGCCCATGTTGAAATACAAGGGGAAGTCCTCCGAAGCCGGCGTCGGGTGAGCGGCGCCATTGTCTATCTCCATGAATGCTAAGTCACGACACTATAGGCTAGGAGCAGAACAGAGGAAGGCGCAGAGCTAAAAAGGGTGAAAGGCGCAATGGGAAGAGCGAAATGAGGCAACGGTGCCTCCATCCACAAAGTTAAGGCACGACGGATGCAGACCAAGGCAGTGCCCACGACCGGACCAGAAACCGCAGTGGCTCAGAACAATGAGGATCTCGTCCTCGCGCATGCTCGCCGTTGCGCATCCCCTCGATTCGGTCGGCGTGGGGTCTCGTAGCATGTAGCGTTTACACGGGCCTGGCATGCGGCGTCATCCCTGGGCAAACACTTGTCATCACTCCAGCGGGTCGCGAAATGGTCGAGGGTCCCGAGGGGAGCCCCCGGATTTCGCCGGGCCCTCGCCTGCCCGTCGGGGCAGTGCGCGAGGGTTACTAGGTCGTCGCGGGCAAGACTACGACGAGGTCTGCCTTCGCCTGAAGGCTACTAGGCCCCTCGCGGAGGGTAGCCGGTTTGCCGCCCCCACCCGGTAACGTGGGGGCCAGTTCACTTTCGTGATGGGTTTGCGGGGCGGCGGACGTGCCCCGGAGCCCGCCCCCTCCAGGCTAGCGGATCCCGCACGCGCCTCAGTTTTCCGCCTCGCCGGTGCTGGGCTCGTCGACCTCCTTGTCACCGCATTTGCACTGAATGCATATGCAATAACAGTAGGGTGCTGGTGTAGGAAGTACTTGAGGTTATAATCGTATATGCACTTAATGCATGTACAGTAGAACTAGTGTAGGGATGTAGAATGTAGCGAAGTAGCTGTTGCAAAGGGGTGTAGAAGAGGGGGATTGAATAGGAGCGGTTGGGTTAGCAGGGGAAAGGCACCGAGGGGCGAAATGTGAAGCACCAATGCATCCCAACCCCGAACCGCACATTGGGAAATGTGCAGCGCAGGGTTGAGTAAGGTCACTCACGCCCACCCCCTCGATGCTTCTCGTTTATTTTTCTCTCAATATAGTGTAAGTTGACACTCTAGCTTCTAGCATACAGTGGCACGCCACTAGGAGGGAACAAGTGGGGTGAGGGAGCGATCTCTTTCATATGTGGGTGACTGAGGCAGAGCAACACGAAGAAGGGAGGACTAAGAGGGATGACAGGAAAAAGAGCAGGTGCCGGAGAAAGACATCAGGAAGAAGAGTAGGAGCTGAGAGGAGCGGTGTCCTCCGACGTCCTCCGTCAGCCCTGGCAAAGTGGCCCGTCGAACCGTTGTCGGATGAACTATTCAGTCGCGTATGAAAGTCTTGAAGTTGCTGCCCAGGCCTCCGAATGTCTCAAGCACAAGGGGGATAAGTTTGACTGCAGGTCAGGCACGCAATGCTGAAGCGTAGTGAGACTGTTTTTCTGTTTCTCGCTTCTTTCATGCTAGCCCAACTGTGTGCGCAACTGTTGGTGGAGCGGATGGTAGCTACGGGTCGGCTACAGAAACATCTAACAACCATTTGATTCCCGCGCAAGGATCAATGCAAGTAGCATCAGGAATGGCATCCGACAGCATGGTGTGATTCTCTAGCTCCCTAACTATCCTTCCTACTTCGTGTTTCACAGCGTCGTGGACATGAGTCGAATCGTGAAGGTCAGGACAGCGAAGTGCATGGCTAGGAATGGTGGGGTCAGTGAAGGCGTGGCCGCAGGAACATGGTCAGGCTGATTCCAGGATACGAAGGTGTGGGACAGGGAGGCCTATGTGGATCTCTGCTGCAATTAACCAATCTGCATATTCTAGCTGAGCCCGGGGAGCAGAAGGGTCCTGAAAGGACGTTAAACGGACCAGCTGGTGGTGCTGGGTAGCGGCTGCCGGGCAGCTGCTCTGCGGCGTGTATGGAAATGCGTTGGGCTAAGGCTGAGAAGAGGCGGTTTGGGTAACCTGCTAGGAAGGTGGACCAGGGAGGAAACAAGGTGGCAGATGTTATCAGGTAGGGCAGCTAGAGTGCGTGCGACCTCGAATCGACACTTGCTTATTTTGTGTTTTATCAATCGAATGTCAGTGCACCAAAAAATCTACCCTGCCACAAACAGGCTACATAAAGTTTTAACATGAATTTGTCAAGCTATTTGTTTTTTTTACCATATCAGCCAGGGTAGGCCTGGTTCGCACCCTGATTTCCCATAGTGGCCAAAAACCAATTTTGGGCCCTGCCGCCTGCGCCCACGCCCGCCGCCCCCGAGGCGCCCCCTCGCCCGCGCCCGCACCCGCCGCCCCCGAGGCGCTCCCTCGCCCGCGCCAGCGCCCGCCGCCCTGGAGGCGCCTCCACGTCCGCGCGCGCCCGCCACCTCCGAGACGCCTCCGCCCCCGCGCTCGCGCCCGCCTCCCTCGAGGCACCCCCTCACCCGCGCTCGCCGCCCCCGAAGCGCCTCCGCACCTGCCTCTAGGATAACAGGGTGAATCACCATTATATCCCTTACTATAAGGTCATGTTATATTGTGCACCCTTTTTTTTACAAAATGAGTTCTTCCAGGATCCTTATGAGAAAAAAAAACAGTACCGATTTTTTAGAGTGACATAATGTAAACATCCTGGTGAGGATGAGTGGTTTTGCGAACCACTCTGACGAGTTTTTGAGTATTTTTTATATGGTATAACCCGAGTCGAGCCTAAGCTCGTATGTCAACTGGAGTGACGACATAGCTCACCGAATCCGGCATCAGTAATATGGCACGGTGTCGTTTGTGACCGTCGCAACAGTTGCATACAAGAATAAGAGCATATCTTTAGATAATTATGCACGAAAATATTTGACCACAATTCATCGTAATTATGATTCGTCAATTTTTTAACTTGGACACACGATTATTGTTAGTCTTAAAACGTACTAGCCTAGTCACTAATCGCCTTTCCAACACTGCCAGCACTCTCCTCGGGGTCACCTCCAAGGGTCCCTGGGTGCCTGACTAAACGTCAGCCCTTATCCAAGGGTCCGAGTATGTAGAAAGAGAAGCTTGCAGTAGTAGCTTGGTTGTCGCAGCAGGCGTTCCTTTCTAGGCGTTGTCAAAACTTTGAACACTGAAGGCGTTATTGCAGCAAGTACGAGAGAAATAAGTTATGTTTAAAACAAGCAAGGACAAACAGCTTTATACTAGGGCTTGATAATTCGAGTTTCCTACCCTGTTTTATGTTTCTTTGTTTCCATACTCGTAGCGCGAACACACATTGAGCTTTCCCTCCAGTTTATTCCCTAACCTGACATATGTTCGAAGCGTTGCCGAAATAATTCGAAAATCGCGCGCGCTGGATTCCGACGGCGGCGATTCGAACATTTGTGGCGATCAGCTTCGACTCGATCAGCAACTCAATCAGCACCCAACTGGTGCTCGCCACCTGTGCTTTGCTTTTGAGGCGTGAACGCCAACTCGATTCGAGTTAAATAACATGTCGCGAGCATGTTAACACTTGCGTTGCTCTTACGTGGCGCGAACAGCTGCTCGCAAACTGACGAAATTAACACGCTGCATGAGCAGCGACCAATCAGATCCCTTTGGAAGTCGCAGCGCGAGCAGCTGATTGCTTGCTAATGAACC